CAGATGTGCAATTGAAAGTGGTCAAACTGGGATGTTCAAGGAGTGTCATCCTCAGGTGACATTAAAGCAGGCTTGAGCCAAATTAAAAAAATAAAAATTAAATGGTTGCTTGATGCAGTTTTATTATTATTACTTTTTAAGTGGGCAGAGTTACAAAACTGTGTGGTTGCACTTTTGTAAATGCCTGTTACGTTGTTGCTGTTTTACACTATTGCTACTATGAAGTTTACAGTGTGTTGGCAAAGTTATAGAAGGTGGATGGTAATATATGCATGTTTAAAAAAAAAAAAAAATGTCAGGGACACAGATCATGTTAATGTCAAACTAATGTTTGCTGTGATTTTTTTTTTTTTTGTTGACCTACTAATGTATTTGGTCCCCATGCATATATTTCCATCTTTTGATCCTCTGCCAACAAACACCATACTGGTTCATGCAATCAACATCAGGTCCTTGTGTTTATGATGTTTGATAAAAATGTGATTCACCTTTTTTTTTAAAGAGTGCCTGCCTCAGTTAACATGAAGGTGTGTGTGTGTGTGTGTGTGTCTTTGTGTTTGCATGAACAAAAATGTCTGAGTTTCTGTGTGCAGTGTGTATGCGCGTGTTGCAAAGCACTGAGATAAAGTAAGACATTTTAATGTCGGTCAGCAGGTTCAGTGTAACAGTGGATGTTTTTATTGTGTTGCTTTAAGTTAGTCGGGGTCAGTGACTGTAACAGACGGCATAAATAAAAAATGTTTGCATCCAAACTCGTTTTTACTTCATCACTAAACTCGATTATTGATTCTAATTGGAAATTCACAAGTAAAACGACAAAGTAAAAAAACATTTTCGATTTTTATTACATTACATACAACCATAGAATATAAAATGATGGATAACTCCACCATGATGTCCCATTTTGAAGCGTGTAGATGAGCCTGTAATTTCATCACTAGGCCACTTCCCATAGGCTCCCACAGTACTAAAAATCTTTTTTGCCCCATGATGGGCATTAAATAGAAGGTTTAAGTCAAAAACATTGGCTTCACTTTTCAGATTTGTAAGCTAAATCCATCATTTCTGCTGTCATGATGGAGAGGGGAAGAAAAGCTTTTTGATCAAACAAGAGGAAAATAAAAATCCTGTTCCACCCACACAAAAAGCCCTTTAAAAATAAAGGCAGCATACTTACCAACTCCCCAGCCCCCCATAAATGTGTAATTTCACGCTGCTGATAAAAAAACAAACGAACTTGAATTTATTTATTTATATCATGTTGCTTTGACAAAATTACAGATAAAAATAATAAGTTAGGCACTTTGGGTTTTTTTCACATTCACAAATCAGGGAAAGCAGGAAAAGTTCACACACTGGGAGGCTACATTATAAAATGCGATACTCTAAATCCTAAACTGTAGTATATTGTTGAATATCAAAAAACAGTACGTATACATTTACTCAAACAATTATCCTGAAATGAGGTTGATCATGAAATGCCTCTAAAATACACACAAGATAATTCAGATTTGTAAGGTTTGTCATTTTCTCAGTTAAGGTTATTTGTTGCACCTAACATTTGTTTTTGTGTGTTTTCTTTCATGATATAAATAAAAAGCTAGATTTTAAGACTCCTTTCTAAAGACTTTCTTCTCTCAAACATTGACTCAATAAATAAAGAACAATTCCTGTCAAATGTAAAGTGCAACACCACACGTGTTAATAGGAGCACATTATACGATTCTCTCATTAAAAATGACACAATAAAAGGCTGGAAAGCTGATTTTAACTTCACTGAATGAATTGAGTGATTTAAGTGTTTTTCTACAAGTGATTATAATGTCTCTCTTAAAAAACAACAACAAAAAAAACAAGCTAGTTCATTACTGTAAATGAGTCCAGAAAAGCTCCACATTTCTGCAACATTTAGAGCATGTTGCTCTAAATTATCTTTGTTGAAACCACCATGAAACCTCACACCTCTCATGTCAGTGAAAAACAGCTTCATTAAGACACATGTGTAAATGCTTCAGGAAATGCAGGTACAAAACATTTTAAAGTCCAAATATATTTTCTCCATGAAGCTTCTTTAACAGCAACGACTACCAAATTAGTTACTAAATAAACATATGTAAGAGAAATGTTAGTCTAGCTGCTCTCTTCTTTATGAATAAAATAAAGAACATTACAGACATTTTCTAATATCTGTAAAGAGATCCAGTCCAGTGTCCATGTAATGTGTTAAAGTTATTACAAAAATAGTTACGTAGGACTTTCAGTCTAAATCTAGCTTACATATTTTGTGTGTATTTTCCACCATGACAGATCCAGATCAGAGAGACAAACCCTGAATAGCAGCCAATGGAAACTTAGGGAAAAAAATGTAAAAAAAAAAAAAGTAATTTTAAGGCACTAAATTTGATTATATTTTTGAAAGAGCACCAAAATGTTGTATATCAGACACCCTTCAGTTTGCCCAGAAATGAAACTCACAGTATGACAAACATACTCATAATCATCATAAAAGCCATATCCATACTGAGACTGCACGTTCGGTTTCAATTATGTTTCGTTTGTTTTAGGATTTCGATTGGATCTGTAGATGGGGAAGTTCAAAAAGTTTCTCAGGGTCATTATGCAGGGTTAAAGAAAATGACATGAAACGAGGCACTGTCGAAAAAATAAAAACCTGCAACTATTTTTCAGGTAAAACATTTTGTAAACAGATATGATTGTTTTACCTTCTCACATGCTCTAATGTGCTGCTTTTCTTCATAATATCTGATTAATAATCTGAACATTTCTAGATTTTGGACTGCTTAGCCTTATAAAAATGCCAGTCCTGTCCTGTTTAATTAAGACAATAGGTGCAGATCATTACAGCGTATGTATTTAAATAATACGTTTATTGTTTTAGGGCATTTAATTGCCTCAGTATTGCTGTAACAAAGGAGCCCAAGACATTTCCAGCCCCATCTCAGAAAACTTACCCCAAACCTTTAGGGAACCTTCAGTATTAAAACTTGGTGTAACATGATCAGAAGCCAAGTTCAGAACAGATCGTACTGTAGGTATGATAACTCTCTGGCGTGACCTTACAGAAATCTGGAGTCACCAAAAGGTCACATGCCAGCCAGCGGTCAGTTTTTCCTCACCTCACTTCTTCTCACATTAAGTTACATTTAGGTCTTCTTTTACCTCACACTCCGTCATCGCCTCTTCCGTTCCTGTTTCATATCAGTCTCGCTGATTCCGTTGCTATCCATACCATCCACTGTGAGGCGACCTTTGCTGTAGTGTTTAATCAGTGCTCCGGGTAAGAGGGCCACGAGGGCGATGGCGAGGAGCTGAGCTAGCGTCCCCCAGGAGAATATGTCATCCAGTGAGGAGATCTCTGAGAGGATGACTCCGGTGCGAACACATATGAAGTTGTAGGGGATCAAACCTGAAAGCGAGAGAGCGGTGGCTTGACTGATCAGTACTTGTTTTGTAGGTTTTTTAGTCTGCATGTTTCATGTTTGAAACTATGGTCTCACCTATGAACACGGAGAAAAAGAAAATATGCATAGGGATGTTGAGAACAGGACAGGTGATGTTAAGGAACCAGTTAGGAGTCATAGGGAAGAAACGAAGGAAAAGGAGGAAAAAGAACAAACTGCTGCGGTTTTCCTCCACCTGACGGAGGGAGGAGAATGGGTGAGGAGAGAAGAAGATAAAAGGAAATGTGAGAAAATTTAAACCTAGACAGCAAATGATAAAAAAGACATAAAGAGTAAACTGTAATTGGTTTGTCCTTCACTGAATAAATGATTTGCTGCGTAGTATAAAGTGAGAGAATAGGAGAGATGGGGATTTAAAACATGCCTACCTTCCTCTGCAGCAGGGCCACCTTCTCAGGGAAGAGGTGCACCACATGCTGCTTTCCAAATGCTGCAGATAGCAGGAAGCAGAACGTGGAGCCTGTGGTGGCGAGCATGCAGGCCAATGCCAGACCCTCCCAGGGCCCGAATATTGCGCCAGCTAACATGTTCTGAGGAAGAAAAGCAGTCTCTGTTTAAAAGAAATTTGCACGTAGGAATAAGATATTTATCGGAAATCAACAACAAGACATAGGATTGGTTCGGATCATTGGTTTGCATTACTGTGTGTCTCACCAGAAAGGAGGAGCCAGGTATGGCAAAAGACTGTTTGTACAGGTATGCGCTACAGAAGAGCAACAGAACATAGGCGTAATGTTGTCTTTTGTAAAACTTGAGCATCTCTGCGAGCTCCCGTAGCTCGTCCAGGTCAGATGGGAACTTTAGCCTAGATGGAACAAACACAAGAATGCTGTGTGCATGGAAATACAGTATAAAAGGCAAAAACAGAGTATGCACTATTCTAACAAGTTGTGAGCTTTTTTTTTTGTTTGACTACCTTTATTTTTCAAAATGATTAAAAAAATAAATTGGTATTGATTTTTACCATTGTCTGCTCACATGTGATGCTACTTCGCTACCTGCGTACCGCAAACAATAAATGATCTGATACGTTTTAAATCACCTTCATCATCTTATTTTCTGCTTTGTGGTAATTAAAAATAAATTAAAAATACAGTGACAGACAGCACGTACATGGCAGTATATAAGTAATCTGGATTTTATATTAGAGCCTGAAATTAAACCCCATTTACTTCTACTGCATTGGTTCAGTGGTTGAACTACAGTACCCATAGGCAAAAATGTCAGCATGACTATGATGCAATTGTTTTTTTGAGTTGTATATATAGTATTTTTTAAATTTGATATAAAAAAAAAACAAAACACACACACAAAGTGTAAGAGAAGTGTGTCTATCTGTGCGCATGTGTGCACCAAAGCGAATCAGAGGGTAACAGGATATATCTGATTGAAGGACAGAAATAGTGTTGCTGCCTGTAGACTTGTGCAGAGGGTAGGAAGACACTTCTCAAAGCTCACATGCACACACAATAAAATCCCCCCAGTTGAAACTCAAGATGCCGGCTTCCTCTGCCAGCTGCTCTGGCATTCAGTGTTCCTTGTTCCCACTGGTCAGTGGACGAATATTCTGTTCTGCCATTGGTCCACAAGTTGATGATGCATAAGGGTTCAGATACATGAAACTGCATGAGTGTATGTACTGTATTCAAGCAGCTACAAGTGTCATCGTGGGCACTTTTAAATTTTACTTATACACAACCTCATGCAAAACATTCTGTCTCTGCACACACACACACACACACACACACAACATTCATATATAGCTTTCCACTAAGCGGTTTAAACCTTTGAACGTGGAACAGAGATTTAGCTTGATATTGATATGAAGCTGGACTGTATTAGGGGCTGATATATAACTATTAATTCATTTCTTGTTTCTTTCAGTGATAAATTTGGTTACAGGTTCTCACTTATTCTCATTATTCAGCCTGAACCCCTGATATAAGGAAGGATGGATCCACGCTTTCATGTTGATCACTCCAAATTTGGACCACAGCAGAAATTGAGATTTATCAGACCAGTTAACATTTTTTTCAGTGTTTTTCGAGTCGCTTTTGGTGAGCTTATGTGAAGTCTACCCTCGGTTTCTTGTTCTTAGCTGAGAGCAGTGCCACCCGGTGTGGTCTTCTGCTGCTGTAGCCCATGTACTTTAAAGTTTGATGTTTTGTTCATTCAGAGATGCTATTCTGCATACCTTGGTTGTAATGAGTAGTTACTTGCTTACCTATCAGCTCAATGCAGTCTGTTCATTCTCGCCTGACCGCAACAGGTCATTTTCATCCAGAGAGCTGTTGATCACTGGATATTATCTCTTGTGAGGGTGGTCAGGTGGAAAAACCCCAGTGGATCGGCAGTTTTTGAAACACTTATATCAGCCCATCTGGCACCAGCAACCATGCCAACCATGTCAAAGTCACTTAAACCACCTTTCTACCCCATTTTGATGCTCAGTTTATTCAGATTAAAGTCATTTGTAATAAAAACAATCACTCAGAAATTCTAAGATTAAAGTTACAGACTCAGAAGAAAGCAGCTAAGATTTTGTAAGGAATGGCATAACTTTCCTGTGCAAGCATCTGATCACATCTCCATCTTCCATGTATCGTACCTGCAATGGATGACCCTGAAGTTAAAATTATACTTTACAACACAAATAAGTAAGTGCGTCTGAACTTTCAAAATCCACTGCTGTATACTGGAGCTAAACAAAATGTGGGAAAAAAAATTATGTACTGATGTTGATGGGCTGATAGTTTGTTTAGCTGCACATCCTCACTAATGTTTTCATGGAGCATTCTCTGTGTATGTAGAGTAGTGGAGGAGATATAACATTGCAGAGGCTGTGCGATATGACCAAAATCCCGATGTAAGAATTCTATCGTCCTGATAACGATATAAATCACAAAAATGTAACATTTTCTGTAAATTCTGTGAATCTCGGGCAGCTCGACTTGCAGGAAGTGTTTCCTGCTGCGCGTCATGTAGCTGGAGTCGAGTGTTTTAACCGATGCATGAAACGATACATTTTTAGACATAAGTTGTAACGGCCGCCGTTTTCTTTGTGAGTATTTATTATACGGCGTGCTGCGGGGAAAAGACTGTTCTAACGTTTGAGTCTAAGGTTTATTTGTTAGCACCTGGCTGCTCTTTTTTACTTCTCATCAGACAACACTACTTCTCATCCGTAAATAAAAATAGAAATTTTTATTTAAAACGTCACCTCACCAGATCTACTCACGCTATGCTTTTACTTTATAAGTAACAAAATATGGGTAATATCATTTTACTGGGAGTGCACCCTTTCTCTCTCCAACGCACACACATACACACTCAAGGATCCTACTCTTGGCTTCAGAGTGCATTGGTCTGCGTTATTCTATCATCTCTAGACAACCTCACACTTGACCGTCTGGCACATTACAACATATCAGTTTCATAACTCTCTCTCTCTCTCACACACACACACACACACACACGCAGAGACACACATATAGAAAATAAATCACTTCAAAACACACACACACACACTTAGAAGTGAGTTAATCGGTCCAGTATGTACTTGAGGAGACATGATGTGAATATCAAGCAGATAATATTTTAGTGCAACAATAATAATAATAAATTATTAATGTGGTACTTATTGTAGATGTGATACTTTAAAAACAAATATACTTCATTTAAGGCATATATAATTTTAGACCTTCATATCTTTAGATGAGTTCACATCATGTTCCAACTAATTCAACGATGGGAAGGTCACTACTGTGTTATATGTCACTACTGCTTTGGTTTCCAAGATGGGGGGAGGCCAGGGAATCCCCAAGGAATTTTAAGACAGACTTTATGGGTGTCATAAAATAGATGTATCCAGGAATTATTTTATTTCACTTTCCTCCTGACTAAAAATGTCTCAGATAAAAGCGTGTAAGTAAAAAAAAAAGGAAAGAAAAAGATTTCTCTGCACTAAAGCCACGACCCACAACCTTCTCTCAACCAAGATTTTCTGCTTATGAAGAGCATTAGCACAGTGCTTTGGTGAAAAATGCATGCAGTCCAAATTCAGATTTTAGGCAGATAGATTTTAAAGAATGGAGTACCATGAGTACCAGCTTTGTCAAAGATACCCAATAATACTGATAATAAGGAACAGGTTAATGTAATACTGCTATGATAATTGACTTACCTACATATCCATCAGTAACACCAAGTGGCTCTAATAACTGAAAGTAATATTTTTGCCCAAACTTGAATTCTGCATGTAAAGTTTGTAAAGTTTCCTTACCTGTACTCCTGGACCTCCTCGTGCTCCCCCTGGGAGCCAGGCTGGAGCTGCTTGGGTCCCGGGGGAAGATGCGTGGACAGCAGGTAGAGGTAGACACTTGCCGCCCCGACAACGGCAGCCAGTCCCGTTAAGGAGCGCATGTTGCTCCCTACAGAAACTCCGTGATCACCGGATAAAACTCCGCTGACAACTCGGGCTGAATTTAAGCAAAGGGGAAAACCGCCGATGAGATAAAGTCGACGTGCTGCGGTTCAGTTGGACGGCAGCGAAAAAAGTGGGTGTCGCTTACCGAGAACCAGGCTACGGTGACGGCTGACATTCTGGCCGGTGTTCGGCACACGGATCACATGGCAGCCGGGCGAACTTTCTTTAGACTGATGGAAAAGAAGCTTTGTGCCCACAGTTTCTCCCCCAACACGTCTTATTTAAAATAACACCAAAAATT